CATTGTTCACTTGATATTTGTAAACTTGATTAGGACTTCTTATTAGGAATCGACCCGAAAGAGAAAACATAAATACAGAACAGAAATTCCACTCAAGCACACAGAGCGACGTCCGACTTCAAGGTTAGCGTCTGGTCAAGCTTTTTTGAGTGTGTTATGCATGTCGGTGAACTCGAAGCTCTGTAGCGAGGGTTCATCCGGCAAGGCCAAGAGACTTTGTGTATTGGCCGATTACTATCGGGAGGTTTTTACGTGACGGCTTATTGTTGCCTATTTGCACGACTGGGAGTGCTTGAATTGCCTCCCTTTTACTCTTCCCTTTTATTCTTCCAACCAAGTGTTGAACACTCGGTGACCTCGTCAAAGGCTTACCCGTGCCTGGTACCTTTCCGCTGTTGGGACCACGAGGATTCATAACACCTACTAGCTTTGCTCGTGCTAGTAGCGTGTTCTTAGTTTTACTGGTTGGCCTATATAAATAGTTTACAAGGTCCAGTTTGTGGCGGTGCAAGGGCAGAACTGGGGTCTTCAGGTCCGCCCGAACGATCGTTTACTATCGTAGTAGACGTATTGTTGTGGGAACGTCCTAGCTACATTTGTAGCTAGAGTTCACGTGGGAATTCCAACACCACAAGTGGTGCCGCGACCCAGGAACAGATTGTGACCATTGTGAGCTGTTTGTATGGCCTTCCAGTTTACGAGATACCAAGAGAAGAAGAAGAACAAGAAAAAGAAAACAAGAAACATGACGAAAGGACAACCAACGGCACCAGTTACCCCTGTCAAGTCTGGCGGAGCTCGCAACGAGAGTTCAAGCCCGGCTGCACGCTTTGCAGCCCCCACGAGCTTTCGGTGAGCTTTGACGACGAGGCGGACGTCGGTCCTGACGCCCACGATTATGAAGATTACGAAGACAAGACGCCGGCTCCAGAGCCAGGCGCAGCGACGCCGGAGACGGCCACGCTATCATCGGGGCTGAGCGGGGCGACCAAGTCCCTTTCGAGGAACCTCGCCGACGAGCTCGATGATGTTGCGGGACCGGAACCGGCCTATGATGGTTATGACGATGGGACCGAGGGTTTTAAACCTTCGGTGGCGAGTGCAAAGCATTCAGCACTGCTGAAAGCACCTCGCCCATCTATCACCGGTGATACACCAGCCGCCAAGCGCGTTTTCGACCGCGTACAAGCGCTGATGCAGAATGCTGAGTAGATGCAGCTGTTCAAGCCCATCCCCAAGAGAAAGGCCGACTGGCCTGCGCTTGCGCAGGAACTTCAATACCCAGTCAACTCGGTGTCGACTAGCTAAGTTGCCGAAGATTCAGTCTCGCTGGGCTTCGAAAATGAGGCGTACCCATCGACGATGTCGCTCCAAGATTGGGGTCCTCATGAAGCTGGAGCTGCTCTCCAGATATGGAAGAAGAAGCTTCGGAAGGCATTTGGCGCTGTCGGCATCAACGCTGGAAAGCAGCCAGTGAGTCGACCGATCGTTCAAGATGAAGATCCGTCCACGATTTCGCTGCCGCAGATACCCCAGCGACACGACCGTACTCCTCCGATCAAGCGTGGAGCTGAGCGTAGTGTCTTTGGTACTACCGAAGCTTCACCGTACTTTCAAGACTCGCACATGGTCACGCCACGTTCGGTGAGCCGTGTGCAACGTGTCTACGCTGGTAACGAGGGTTCGTTCGGTCGCCGGGGCGGTACGCGAGTTTCCAAAGGTGGTGCCGGACGTCGTCAAGTCGACAGCGACGGTTCGTCAAGTGACGATGACATTTTGGTGCGTACATTCGACGAGGAAGATCATCAAGTCAAGTTGATGCGTCCGATGAATGAGCTGGCGACGCTGAACGACGTGGACCCGACACCGAGGATTGAAATGGCATCGCACCGACCGTTTGGTCGCATTAAGCCTTTCTCAGGCTCTCGCAACAAGAGCGAGAACTGTATGCAGTGGCTCCGTGGGTTCGTCTACGAAATGACTGCAACTTGCACAGATGCCGACAAATGGAGCATTCCATTTGAGCTAAGTCTCCGGGACGGAGCCATTCATTGGTTCCACCAACTTCCGAAAAAGACGAAGCGCAAGTGGGAGCTGCTGAGCGATGCGTTCACCCGCTACTACTGCTCGCAGTTAACTAAGACAGCACTGTCCCGTTACTACTCTGCAAAGCGGGAGCGTAACGAACATCTGTGCGACTACATAAACAGGCTGAATGGCTACGCTCAGAACGCGCGTATACACTTCGAGAACAGTGGTCGCGACGCGAAAGAACACGTACAGCAGTTCCTGGCAACGTGCGATGATAACAAGTTGGCGGAGAGTCTCTATCACACTCGAGTCACCGACATTCACGAGCTCGAAGAGGTCATCAAAGATGTTCCCAAGGGCAAGGGACGAATGGCTAAGCGTGGCAGTGAGTATCGACACTCCAAGAGTCGTGATGCGCGACGCGATGATGCGTACGCCCGCAACAATCGACGTGATGACCGTCACCGTGATGGCAACCGCAATAAACCAAGCGTGACGCTCATTAAAGTCACGGTGGTTTGACCTACTAGCTGAATTGGAGGGCCGTGAAGCTGCTCAGGGGGGGGGCACCGAGTATTCAAATGAATATCCGAACGCTTACAACGATGTCCAAGACGAGTATAACGACGTTCAGCCTGAAAATGCGGATGGTGATTTCTCATTGGAATGCACCAGTCAGATAGAACTGAACGCTGTTCGTGGTCGTGATTGCCACATGGAAGCTCAGGTGCTGTACGCAGAGGAAGTCAAAGCCATTAGAGAGGACGTGGAAGTCGCGATCATCCACGCAGCAGACCACGTGAAAGAAGTTCTGGCCGTGATTGACTCGGGGATTCGAGAAGCTAAAGTGGTGCTTACAAACAACGAACTATTACTGGCGTCTGACGCTGACAAGATCCTTGGAATGTGGAGCGAGTTGGACGCTGTTTGTCAGCACCGAACCGATGAGATTGAGCAATTCGCTGCTGGACTGGAAGAAATCGAGCAAGCTCGCATCAGGCGAATACGTGGGAGACTGCAGCGATTGACTTATGTGCTGATGGAAACCGCACATGCCTTGCCGCCTGAAGTGGAGCGCATCATCGAAGCGGAGGCGTACGAAGTCAACACAATAGTGATCTCTAATCGCAGAGTGTTTGCAGATCTGGTGGCCAGGTTGGAGACTGCCAATGTCGATATCTTCTTGGACGCCAGACTCGCCTGGGAACGGGGCCAGACCCGTTGGCGTCACCTACGACACGATGAGGCGATTGTCCCACACTCCACTCTCCGCTGTTTACAGACCCAGAGGAGCGACGGCTTGTGCTTGAGCAGATTCGAGTTTTCCAAGAGAAACTTCATATTGAGCAGCGTCTTGCGGTTCTGCAGCAGTCGAAGGAGGCAGGAGCTTCTCCGACTTCGGACCAAGTGGTCCCTTTCAGCAAAACGTTGGAACCTCTAACCTGGAAGTTTTCTTCTAGGTTCGAGGGAAAACACTTTCAGCATACCACTTTTTTCTCCTCCAACCGCAAAAAAAGTCACTAAAAGTTCCAAGTAAACCTCGGTTCAGTGCCAAAGTTTTAGGGAGCGGAAGAGGTCCCTGAAACGTGGAACTTGTGAGACTGGATAGATTCTCCGTGGCACTCATTTTCACCCCCCCCCTTCAGCCTGCGCATGGATAGCGGAGAGCCCGAGGCAGAGCCCCTGGGCTCTGCGGAACTGCGTCTGTGCGAGCTCTAGAGCCTGCGATCTCTGACTTCAAGCGCAACTGGACCGACATCACGATCCTTGCTCTGGTGCGCGCGTGGCGCGCTGTGTACAGAAGTGGTCGAGCCAAGGACGAGAAGACGACGATGTTTAACGAGCGCATTTTCGTTGCTTACCAAGCTGCCGTCCCGTCGACTCAGCGTTCAAAGAAGGCAATAGAAGATAAACTCCAAGGACTGCGTGAGATGTATCGTTTCATCAGTGATGTAAACGCAAACAGAGTGCAAGGCAGCACTGGGAAGGCTGAGTGGTTCGATTTCTCCAAGCAAGATAAGAAAGAGCTAAGGTATGGTGGTTCTATGGAATGCAGACCGTGCTTGAGCTTACAGAATACTATTCTTCACAAACAGGGAATTTCATCGCATTAAAAGTCCCAATATCTCACAGCAAGTATACTCGGAGCTGCACAGCTTCTTGTCGGATCAACCTGATACGACTCCACTGAGGTCTAAATTCACCTCCCAGCCACGATTCTCGACACCTCGCGCACGATACCGGAGACTGTAGATGGCCCAATGGCAAAACGATCTGCTGTGGCTTCCAGCGATGTGCCCTGAGCACATAGATACAAGAAGACAGCTACTCTCACTGGAGGCAACACAGCATCTGGTGCCATTCTTCCTGTTGTGAGATGGGGGGTCAAAGTCCGTATCAAAGCGCCAATTGTAGAGCTATCCATGCGAAATAGGTTACTCATCGATCCATCGAAGTAGATGCGCGAAGAGAACAATATCTTAGCCCAGTGTGAGCTGCGCTGCTTCGCGAGAATCTCCCGATCCTTTGGAGCTGCTACTTCGGCTATCACATCGAGTTCTGCTTGGTATGCTTGCTGGATGAGGTGTCTTGCTTGTCCGCCCATGCCAGCTGGAGGAGGAATCCCCTCCAAGAGAAGCATTAGCAGCAGTCCGACGTTCATGGGCCGCGACCTCTTAGAATATATAGCCAGAATGATTGTGGAGAGCACGCAGCACCTCCAGGGGAAGATTTGCTGAACGCATGGGAAAAACAAAGCTTGGAACCTTTTTTTTTCAGGTTCCAGGTTATATTTTTGCTGAAAGGGGCCAGTGACGCGGATTCTAGAGGAGCTGAGCTGTACGCAGCAAATTGAAGAAGAAAATAATCAGTTTTTCTTGTCAGAGTTGATGCAACTTGATGAATCCAAAGGAGACGCTGCGAAGGCTTTGAGAGAGGCGCTTCGTTTGGAACTGCATGGCTTTGGATCGATGGCCAAGGAAGGGGCGATTCAAGAGGCCAAGGCAGCTCTAGTGATGCTGCTAAGTGATGACTCGATGGAAGACTTATTTCGTGCCGCTGGGGGCTTGAAGAGTGAGCTTGACACTCTTGCGAAGCAGCTCAACACGGCTGATCTCATTTACAACACAAACCTGGAGCCAGTGGTGAGCTCAGTGGGGGTCCTCTTGAGTGCGTTGCCGTTGACAAATGTGATGGAAAAGCAGGGCAAGGAGGCGGGGCGGAAGGCGGTGCAGTCAACACTGGAGAAAGTCCGAAAAGCCACCAAAGGCGAGATCATGTCGCTGTTACCGAGTCTGCAGTCTCAGATCTCCATGCTGACAAACTTGGAGGGCATGAGCGACAAATTTCAAGCTGAACTTGGTGACATATCAGTCCAGTTGGACACAATTCTCCGCGAGAATGGCTCCGTTCAAGGCACTGGCGCATCAATTCCAGCTCCAATTAGTATGAATCCGGTCAATTCATCAATGGGAACTGCAAATGAGAAGCGGTCGCTGTCCGAAGCTGCCCCAGCGAGCAAGACAACTAGTGTCCCCAATGCAGTGGTAACGCTGTTGATCTCCAGGCTATTCGGAAGATGCAACGCCGCCTTGGTATGCTTTTGTACGCGTCCGAACTAGACGTACCTTGGCAGGAGCATCTTCATTTCATCGCAGAGCAACTCGAGTTGCAGACAAATGCTAATCGTATCGTGGATGAAATCATCTCGAGGGAATGTGATCCTCAAATTGACACGCGACAACAAAAGGGTCGAATACTAGTGGATGAAATGGGGAAGCGAATGGAGCAGCAGAGCGCACAGCTGTATGATCATGTTGAGAAGCTGGCGAAGTTCTTCCTCCGAGTGGTCCGTTGCCTCGAGGAAAGCGTCGACAAGGTTCAGTACGTCAACTTGAGTGTGATGGATCTCCTTGATACGCTCAAGGAAGACGATGAAGACACTCTGGCCGATCTCGAGACCAAGTTCACGCAGAGCTGCACACGTCTCCGACACTTGCCGACTACCAATGTTTTACGTGAGGAATTCCAGCGCTCATCGGATCTCTTGCTGCTCATTGAAGGTGAGTACCGGACGTATGACAAACGAGTGTCTCTTGCTGCAGGTAACAATGTCGCAGCAATCGCTACACAGCGTCTGCTGTATCTGGAGCGTCTCTGCGACTTGTTTGGGCTAAAGCAGCTGCATCAGACCAAGAGTGATGAGGTGCTTAACGTAGACCACTTCCTCAGTGCGCAGCATATTGAGGAGATGCTTAAGCCAATTTCTCAAGAGAAGGGCAAGCGTATTGTCGAGGCATGGACAGGAGAGGCCGCCCACCCAGTGTCGAATGGTGACTCTGGTGAGCTTGCAGAAGAGGAAACTTTTCGAACAGCATCGGGCTTGGAGTTGGTTGTAGATCTCTCTCTTGCTAATCTAGCTCACAATATATTGGTACAAAGCGACGAGGAGGACACAGATCAACAGCCACCTCTACACGTTGGCCCAGCTGAATTTTCTTCAAGTGAGCAGTATACACAAAAGACACCCCGTGAGGATAACGTAAGCTCACGTGTCGATGGAGATGACAAGACGGAAGTCGAGGCTCAACCTTTGGAGCCAAGCGTACTGGAGAAAGTTCAAGCGGAGTTTTTGGTCCTAAATGTCTCCAGCGACTGTCGAGAGTCTGCTAGCCTCTTTTCGAGACGCTATTCTATCCAAGTATCACACGGATGCTGCAAAAAATGACACGCAGACGAAAGAAACTCGCGATGACCGCCAGGCAAGCTTTTCAATGCTCCTCGAGGAGAGACTGCGCGTCCACTGGCCACGGAATGGAAGACTGGATGTACAGCTCTACCAGCCTCGAGTCGGTGAACTTCTGAATCACCAGCAACGACAAGAGCGACTTTTGCGTGGAGTCTGGCTAAAGATGGATGAACAGCAAGTTGCGTTTGCAACGAAAGTGGAGGGAGCTCTTGTACACATCGAGCAGACCAGGATGGCGCAGATTGGCTTTCAGGCTCAGCTGCCACTTCAGCAAAGCCTGGCAGCTCTCCAGGGTCTGGAAGTGAAAGCTAAGAAGCGCTGGGTGTATTTAAAGGCGAGGCAATGGAGATATTAGCAGTTCTTCGAGCCATGACAGCTAGTGACATCGACAGTTTGTTATCGTCCTGCCAAGATTACGTACGTGCTTGTTCGTCTCAACTTTTTCCCGATTTGATGAGCTCCGAGATTATAAGTGGGTGTGATTATCACCCCGGGGAGATCACTGCCATCAGAGAAAAACTCGCTACGATCGAAGCTCAAGCCCGTGATCAGATATCCGAGAGAGAGAAGCAAATTGATGAGATTAGTAGCAAACAGAGCCAGAACATGGACATATGGGAAACGTTCAAAGCAAGGTCTCAGACGTGTATGCAGAGCTTAGCGATGAAAGAGGGGCTTGGACAGAAATTCGGGCTTCCTAAGCGAACAGCTCAAGAACGATATCGATCTGAAATGACGAGGTGTGAGGCACGTTCTGCTACGATCAACACGCTCTTGGCTTCACTTGACTCGTTAGTCGACGAAGGGAAAAGTTACGATCGTTCGGACTCGTTGTCCAATGTGCCGAACCTTACACGTGATGTGTTACCCAAGCTGATGCAGCTTCGTGCGAAGATATACCATCGAGGAATGTACTTTGGATTCCTTCGAAATCCGAGTCAGCTTGAACTCAAGCCGGCAGAGTTTGATCCCGCAACAGGGAGGCAAGACGAAGTGATACGTGATCACGAAGTAGTAGACGAAGAAGATTGGATATTAGCGGTTCCTTTCCTAGAGTTTGCCGATCAAGTCAGCGCTAAATGCCAAGAAGAGACGAAGGCGTTGTACGAGCAAGAAGGAAAAAACGAGGAGCTCCCGCCCCCGCCGCTTTGGAGGAGTATCTGTCCAGTCAGATGGAGAAAGCTCGATCATTCGTATTGCAACAAGAAGTGTCATATCGAGAGCAAGTGGATCTGTACGCTGATCTGTTGACTCTTGCACCGGGATTTGTCATGAGAAATTTGGTAGACCAGGCAAAGCAAGAAATACGGCGCAAGATTTCCGATATTTTCTTTGCGTTCGAGCCTCTCTACCAGTCGTGGATGGACCTCAAAACCCACCACACCTTAGAGCTGCGACCGCACTATTGCAGCCCCAACAACGGTCATCTTTTGCAAGAACTGGAAAAACGTGAAAAAGTACGCTCGACATCAACCCAAAGTGCATTGTACGACATTCGAAGTCTGTTCTTGGCGGATCACATTCAGATCTCGTTGTCGTTCGAAGCAAGACTGATTAGACTAAGTCACTGTCTAATGCTGTTCTTAGACTCGTCAGTATTGTCATTGGACGACGTGAAGCCATTTTCAGGCGAGAAACTGCTCAAGCGAAAATCACTGAAGCGGCTGCGTAAAGTGGCTCGAGTAAAAGAATTCGGCTATTCTCACGAAGTGAAAAGAACTGCTGCTGAGCTGCAGATATTGACTCAAAGCGGTGAAGTTCCTCGTTTTCCGTTGCGATCATGGGCTGGTATCCCTTTTTTTGGATTGCAGTCGCTTTGGGAGGAGGTAAAGGCGGATATTCATGCAAAGGATTTAGCAAGGCAGTGCTATGGATCTGATGTGCAGACAGACTCCTCCATCCAAAATTTGACCTGTGTACCTCTGGCATCCAATGACGGTGCGTGTGTTGCTCTTCTCACGCCCGCACATCGGGCACTCATTCAAGCACGAGACACTTCCTATGCCGATTACATTACTTTCTGTCGCGAGGAAATAAGGCGGTGTCTAGACAATTTGCACGAACGGATGGACGATGAAGTCAAGTGGACACTCGGCTGGGAAAAAGGGATTTTAAGGATGAGGCAGTCCACGTCCCAGCTAGCATAGCCCTTTAATCGCTGATATCCTGCGACGAAACAGCTCTGGATTTTCGAGATACATTGCTATCCAAGTAAAGAGCTAGTACACTTCTAAACTTAAGTGTGAGCTGTAAACTTACCTGCGTGTCGAGCGCCAGTGCATTGCAGTCTGCCAGTGTCCGGTGCCCCCATCTACGAGCCACCGTCCACTGCCAGTGTCTGCAAAGACACATCCCAAGGACACTCATGCGCCTGGCAGTGCAGCTTGCGGCTGCACTACAACCGGCTACACTGAGTACATATGCGTGCAATGGCGAAGGACTATACCAAGGACTGTATGCACAAGGACATCGTTGGCTGTGCGCTGCCAAGATGGTGTACTCAAACGAGAGTGCATTTATCTAGAGTTTAGTATTGACTTATTTGCTATTTGTATACTAATCTACTTTTGCGGTACAGCGGTGTTCTGGCGGAGGCTGCTCCACACTTTGCGTTTTGACGCCTGCCGCTCACCAGAGAGCAGCAGAGAAGAGCAGCCTCACCAGACACCGCAGTCCTGTCGCGGCCTTTTCTTACGTGTTTACGTTACTTCCTGATTAGTTTCCTAAAGTTGACATTTAAGTGTATTTACATTTAAATGGCTCCTACTCTTAGAAGCGATCGACCCATGGAGAACAATCCCCCCGTGACGAACCCTACGTCACCACTGGTTATGAGCCCAATCAGGGCGCAGTCTGCGACTGACGTGGCTGCTGGTGTTCCAGACACAAGTTCACGAATTTCGACCAATCAAGATCAATCTTCAACCCCATTGGCAGGAATTTCAGCTTGAACAATGACGCAACACTGTCGCACAGTGATGCAGAGCGACTAATTCGTTCATTGACTGAATCCCGGGTGCGCCCGTTACTCCAAATGTTACTCGAAAGTATGCATAAACTTTCGTCGACGAACACGGAAGAATCCGTGCCAGTTGACATCCTCCCCAGTCGCCGCTAAATTAACAAAACGGCGACCGAGACCCCGACGATCCGTGGCGCCCTCTAGACAACATGAACCCTACTGGCCGCTACAACGACGGCGAGCTGGCTGAGTACACCAAGGTCCTCATCAACTCGCCCCCGATCAAGCTGCCCAAGCTCCATCTGAAGGGCGACTACAAAGCCTGGAAGAGCGAGGTGCCGTTGCACTCCGAGCCGAAGATGCTGGGAGACATCACCTATGACCCTGAGCGCTACGATGCAGTAGAAGGCATGCGTCGTGACAAATATCGCGTGTGGTACAAGTCGCGCAAGAACAAGGCATTCTCAGCACTTGTGTTGTCGCTGTCTGTTGACCTACGTACGACGTTCAAGATCGACGACATCCACGACAATATGGACGCCGCCTCTTTGCTCTACGATGCGATTACGCAGCACTTTGAGGCTGGAGATGGTATTAATCCTGATTACCTACTGCAAGAGCTAGTGACGCGCCGGCTCAAGCCAAACGAGTCGGTATCACAGTATGTTGACCACATTGCGAAGAAGGTGACACTTCTACATCAAGCTAATGGTGAGTTCGCTGAGTGGCAACATGCAAGCCTACTACTGTCGAACAGCATGAAAGCATTAAAGATGAA